AACATATCATTAGCATATTACACTTTGATTGGTGAAACAGCCGATTGGACAAATGGACACTAAGCATATTAGGCTTTTATTATATAGGATAGATAATAACAAGATTTCTTAAAGACTTAACCCCTAGAGTGCCGGGGAGCGCGATCACGCTCCTCCCGTCTTTTGCCAAAAGTGCCGGGAGCGCTATTGCGCTCCTCCTGCAGTGTCACTATTAGATGCTAGTAGTTCACTCTTTATTGACAGATGGCACCTAAGGAAAATCAGCAAAAATGCCTTGGCAATTTTAGCATAATTCCTAGGATACTGGTTGGCACTCAGAGGGTTAATCACATAATTTACTAGCTTAGACATTCAACTTTACTTGCACTGTAAATGCTGGGTTTCTGTCCTACAATCCTTTTTTCTCATCCAAGTCCTTTGCCTCCAAAATCTATTACTATGAACTCAGAACTTAATAATTACCTTAAGCCACAAATCCAGTTGCCTACTGGCCATCTATATTTGGCAGAAGTATAATCCACTCAAACTCAACATGTTACAAATGAATTCCTCTTTCTTGACAAAAATAAAAATTAAACTCCTTCATCATATGGATCCCCACACATCAGTGAAAGCCACAAGCTAGAACCTAGATTGTATCTTCTATGATCCCTCTCCCTAATCCCAAATCCATTGAAATCACCTAGTCCTGTCTACTCCCAATAGCCAAGTCCAGACCCACTACCATCATTTGCCTGAATTGCCTTCCTAATATTCCTGCCTTTAGCCTTTGTCTACTCTTCAATCTACCCTCCTCACTGAAGCCAGAGTGACCTTTTAAAAATGCAAATCTCGCCCTGTTGACTTGGCTCAGTGACTGAACATCGACCCAGGAACCAAGAGGTCACTGGTTTAATTCCTGGATTTAATTTAAATCCAGGGCATATGCCTGGATTTTGGGCTTGATCCCCAGTAGGCAGGGTGCAGGAGGCAGCCGATCAATGATGTTTCTTTCTCATCGATGTTTCTGTCTCTCTATCCCTCTCCCTTCCTCTCTCTCTAAAAAATAAATAAATAAATAAATAAATAAATAAATAAATAAATAAAAACATTAAAAAATGCAAGTCCGATCATTTCAGACCCCTACTTTAAATCCTCCAGTAACTTATTTGATAAATACTATAGTCACCATTAAAGCTAGTTACTCCAGCCCGGCTGATGTGGTTCAGTAGTTGAGTGTTAACCTATGAACCAGGAGGTGACAGTTCAATTCCAGGTCAGGGCATATGCCCGGGTTGCTGGCTGGATCCCAGTAGGGGGCATGTGGGAGGCAGCCCATCAATGATTCTCTCTCATCATTGATGTTTCTATCTCTCTCTCTCCCTCTCCCTTCCTCTCTGAAATCAATAAAAACATATCTAAAAAAGAAAAAAAAAAGCTAGTCACTCCATGGAAGTTCAGCAGATCAATCAAATTTACTTGTTATATCTTTTTTTGGCAGGTTCAGCACAAAAGAATTATCAGGAAATTTTTTCCAATCCTAAAATATACTTAAAACATACATATAACGACTGATACATTTAAAAGAAAAGCATGAAGCACTGTTTGTAAAATCAAAGACTGAAAATATCCCGACCACCAAAATAGAACTACCATTCAGCTAGCAAATGAGGCACTAATACATGTACTGTTGTTGAAAGGTCTCTAGGGTCTATTATAAAGTGGGGATAAAAAGTTATATAATGTGCAGTATGCTTTAGTGTTTTAATAATATAAATGTATATGCTTCTATATGCTAGAAATATCACAGATATGGAATTAGTGGTTGCCTCTAAAGAGTGAAAACAGGTGGTTAGAGGATAAAGAGAAACTTTTTCCTATTCTTTTAACCTCTTTGATTTTTATATTCCATCTAATTATTATCTATAGTTTTAAACATGATTATCCCCCTCTTCAGTTCCACACAAAATAAAAATGTTAAATATACTGACTGCAAAAACCTCTCTATACGTCATCCCTACAACATTAAAATTATGCACTGATCATTTGGTGTAACATTACATTTCCTTCTTTACAGCTCAGGAGTGCAACTTCAACATTTTATTCAATACTAGGGCCCAGTGCACAAATTCGTGCACACTGAAAGGAAATTAATTACAATACTTTAATATCGCTATTCGCCCTTTCTCTGTAATAGAAGTGTCAAGCAAATTCACAATCGACAATGACAGATTGAAACACACGCGTGCGACTGGCACCAGCGAGAGCTTTATATGTATCGCGCATGTGTGAGTCAACATAGCCTTTTATATATACATGTATATAGGTATAGATATATAGATATATATATATATATATATATATATATGAAACTTGCTTAATTAGACCTTATTTCTGATGTAGCTAAACTTTTTCCAGCCCAATGAAGCACCCCACTTCTCTTTCAGGTAATTATCAGCAACACGGCAGTAAATATCAACATGAAGCAGATTATTATTGTAGATCATGCAGGGAGAACAAAGGGTAAAATATTTTACTGCAGCAGTGTTTGACTATATTCTGCGCAGTGAGAAAGCCTGAAGTCATTTTCAAGGTCCATGATTTACTTCTTTTCAGTCTGGTCAAGTTTCCAAGCTTTCTAAATCTCCGTTTTCTAGCTAATGAAAAGGAAATAGGATTCCACCAAGTTTCCCATCTACCTACTCCAGGACTTCTGTGAGGATCAATGAGATGAAGCATGGGAAAACATTTCACAGACATTTGGTTAAAGTGTAAAATGTTTGCACTTGGCTATAAAGCAAGTTGTGTTCCTGGGCTGAAGAAACTCCAAGGAGGCTAGTCACTAGGGAGAGGAAGCCGGGCGTTGCTACCTGACGTCATTACCAGGATGGACACTTAGCATATCAGCCTTTTATATAGAGAGATTTTACTACTGCTGAGAAGCTGTTGGTAATGACACCAGTGAACACTGCACGATAAGTGTATTTGCTCCTTGGAAAAGCAAGACAGCAAACAACCGTAGGTAGGAGAAATATATTAAATTGACATTAAATCTTTAGGGATTAAAGAAAGCTATACCAATAAATATTACTTCTCCTGCAAATTCAAAAACAGCAAATAAAAAAAAAGAAGTTCCCAGTATCCTTCAAACCAGTACAAAAGATCTGTAAAATCTGCAAGATGAAGCAAATGATACTACATGGAGACACAGTTACATCCAATTAGCGCAGTGGTTCTCAACCTTCATAATGCCGCGATCCTTTAATACAGTTCATGTTGTGGAGACCCCCAACCATAAAATTATTTTCGTTGCTACTTCATAACTGTAATTTTGCTACTGTTATGAATCGTCATATAAATATCTGATATGCAGGATGTATTTTCATTGTTACAAATTGAACATAATTAAAGCATAGTGATTAATCACAAAAACAATATGTAATTATATATGTTTTCTTGGGCGACCCTTGTGAAAGGGTCGTTCGACTCCCAAAGGGGTCGCGACCCACAAGTTGAGAACCGCTGAAATTAGTGGAATATGACTTAATCCTTAATGGAGGTTCCTAAAATCAGATCTGGACTATCTCACATGTTCTACAGAAGACACAAGATGTGAAGCAGGCTGTGTGACCTTATAACAGCACACACACCCTGCCTTGAGCTTCCATACTCTTCCCCCTCCCTCCCTTTCACAGCACCAGACTAAACCCTTCAAACATGGGTGTCAGTTGGTTGGTTCCCTTATGACCAAGTGGGGAGAATACACGCGAAGCAAACATCCCTTCAGCATTTCATGGCTAAGCCCTTTCAACCAAAGAAAGGATCACCACCAGGAAAAAAAGATAAGGTCTGTGCAGGGAGAGAAGGTCTGTGAGAGAGGAGTGGGGAAAGAAGGGGGTGTCTAAAGAGTGGCTGACACCAGATCTACCGGAGGGAAGAGCATCACGAAAAAGACTATGTGAAAGCTCAGTTGGGTAGGGAAAGAACTGGTTGGCTTGGCGGTGAGCGACCTGGGAGGGGGCGGTCCGCTCGGAAGGGGGTGGGCAGCAATGAATCTGCCTTGGAGCTGGGGGCTGCAATGGGTAAGGGGGCGGCCGTGACTGGGTCTCAGAGAAACTGTGATCCGGTAAGCTCACGGGAGGATGTCACGGAGTCTGGAGGCTCCTTTAAGAATCCTAAGAGTCCGAGGACGGTTCTAATGGGGCGTGCTGCGAGTACGGGGGTTCGCGGCCGAGCCGCCCGGGCGGCTGGAGGGCAGGAATGGTGTCGGGTCAGAGAGACGATGGGTGGGGTCTACTGGGGACCCGGGGCAGGGATCGTGAGTCGGGGAGGCTGCGGAGCAGACCCGCTCCTGGGGCGTCTCCGCTGGGGCGGGGCCGCGCGGCCCCGCAGGAGCCCAAGAGCGAGACTGAGACGTGGGCCGGGCCGACGGCGGGGCCGCTGGGTGGCTAAGGCGGGTCTTACCTCGGGCTTCGCTGCGGTGGCCACTACAGTCCCTCCTCTATGGCGGAAGCTGCCTCCCACCCTCGGCCCCAGGGTGAGGCCGGAGGAGACAGCAGAGACGGAGGCCCACAAGGGTTCCGGGAGGGTGGGCCCAGTTGCTTCAGGGTCCGGGCGAGCGGCCGCCGCGCATCCCCCTCCCTGTCAGAGAGACTCCGCCCGGCCTGGGCAGGCACAGCCCCCGCCGCACCCCGCCCAGAGAGCACGCGTCGGGCCGCCGCCTCAGCCGGTGCCGCGGCAGCCTCTGCCGCCGACTCTCAAGGTCCTGGCTGGACTCTGCGCAGCCACCATCAACCGCCGCCCGGTCCTCGGTCGGCTCCAGCCCGCGCGCCCCCGACCCCGCGCACGCGGCCCCGCCCCGCGCGACTCCCCAGCTGCAGACCAGCAGGCGCGCGCACTTACCTCCCACGCCCCCTACCGCCTACCCGAGTCGGCCGCTCGCACGTGACGCCACCAGGGAGTCCAGTGTGCGCCTGCGCGGGCACACCCATTCCGTCGACTCCAGGCAGCCCCGCCCAAACTTTTTTTTCCGCTGTGAACGGCGGAGCTGGGAACGCTGCCTTCGACTCTCCCTCTACTGGAGTGTAATGTCGCAAGGTTGGGGTAGAAAGCTCTGGGTTTGCGACCGTAGCTCTCGCTTTCCGGCCAACACAGAGACAGACGTGCCTGAAGGCTGGTTGAGGTGGTGAGGCCCGAGGCAGGTAAGAAGCCGCCTCCCCGCTTCGGTTTGTCGGGGATTGTGTCCGGGCCTGGGGCCGCTGTGCTGCCCACGCAGAGCTAGTGTATCGGTGCCCCCTCCCCAGGCAGCCCCGCTCTGGCTCTAGGTTCTCAGCGGCCCCTCTGAGCCCCCGCCCCTTTCCACACACACGCCCCTCTCCCCGCCCCCGACCTCCTTTTTTTTTTTTAGTCCTTTCCATTCATCCTTCTTTTTACAGTGATTTCCGTACCTTGGACTCAAGAAAGTCAGAAACGAATGAAATAGCCTCAGCTTTCTGAAGTGTTGTGTTACGTGGGAGACGATGAGAGAGTCCGCAGTGGTAGTAAAGTAAATTATAACAGAAAAAAGCACAGGATACTCTCAGAGCATAGAAGAGCCGCCCCCCCACCCACCCACCCCCCCCACTGCGGAAGACGAGGAAACCCTTTCAAAGCGACCTTCGGCTCACTCGTAACTTGTGTTAGAAGGCTAGTGAGCAATTGCTGGTCAAAGAAATAGGAGAAGCAGAAAGAGTGCCAGGTACAAAAGGATACGACAGTATTTGGTCCGGAAGAGTAAAAAGCTAGTGGAAACCATACTGGTGTAGCCTACACTTTAAGGAAGCGTCGTTGTAAAGGCTAAGAAGGATGAGGACCGATAATGTGGGGCGCAAGTATATTTTCTTTAAAGATGAGAGACTCTTAGTGTACCATGGAACCAAGAAGTGGCGAGCCCATGGGTGAGGGTGTCCAATTTATAGAATCAAGAGCTCTAATAGAACTCAACCTTGTACCACATCAGAATCATCTGGGACGCGCTAAAAAAAATAAAATCAGCCCTGGCCGGTTTGGCAGAGCGTCGGCCTGCGAACTGAAGGGTCCCAGGTTCGAAGGGTCCCAGGTTCCATTCCGGTCAAGGGCACATGCCTGGGTTGTGGGTTCCATCCCCAGTGGGGGACTTGCAGGAGGCAACCAATCCATGATTCTCTCTCATCATGGATGTTTCTATCTCTCTCCCTCTTCCTCTCTGAAATCAATAAAAATATATTTAAAAAATAATAAAAAATAAAATCAATGTTGTTGCTCCATCCAAAACCAATTAAACAATCTCTGGTCCAGTAATATTTTCTCCTGAGATGACTAATGCTGAGGGTTGAAAACCACTAAGCTAGAAAAATGTAAAGAATGGGAAGTAGAGAAGGACATAAAGGTATGGAGTTGGCTGTGTGACATTAGGATGGGAGTCATTTGATGAGAGAGAGAGTTTGGGATGGAATGAGAAGCTTGAGCAGAGATGAAATTTTTGAATAACTGTTCTGGGAAATGGAAGAAAAAAAAAACTACTCCTGCCTTTTCCTTGAGCACAGTTCCATCCCTTAATTTTAATCAGGTTCCCTCATTTACAGCTCTTTTTCCTCTCCTTTTCTCGTCTATCAGCTGGGGTTTCAGTCTTATAGCTCAAGAGCATCCTCATTTTTATCCCCCAGAAGATCAGAGTTGAGCCAATTTATGAAATGCAAAGACTGACTTCACTCTCCTAGAAATTACTACCCACAGTGCCTTGCCAATTATTAATTTCATCAATCATTTAAGTTAAGAATGAGATATAAACATATTTAGAATATAGCCCTGTTAGGGTATAGTATTAGGGAAAACAAACCTTTAAAAGAATAATTCACTTGGCTGGCAGAGAAGGGCTGTAAAGGCAAAGCCCAAGCCAGTGCAAGACTACTATCCATTAACTTGGGTTAATCCAAAAACCTCTCTGTCTGCCTCCAGATAAGAGAGAGTCACTGTTGTGTGTTATGACTAGACCATAGTATGGAGAATGGGTGGAGCAGAGAGAAAGATGATAAAGTGTAGTCTTCAATCCCATGCTAAAACATTTAGTTTATATACTATAAGCAATTAATAGGTAAAAATAACAAAGATAAAAAGAAAATAACCTCTTTTACACCATGGACCTCTGTGATAGCCAGACCTGTGGCCCCTGTCTCAGAATGTTTTTAAATGTGAAATAAAATACATGGAAATGAACCAATTTTATTCAAAGTTTTAAAAATATTAAAACAAGTGTGTGATGTAGTTATCTATGTACTTTATGCATTAATCATCTGGCAGCAGATCTTATTGTGTAATTCCAAAATAATGATGAGTGTAAATTATATTTTGAGATACCTGCAACAACTTTAATATGATGTGAAAATATCCTATTTTTTATTGGTGACAAAAGAGAGGGATTGCTGATACTACTCTGTATCATTGCCTACATTTATTGACGAAAATACCGAATTTCACCTAGAGATTATTGGAAATAAAAATGCAATTTTAGCCCTGGTTGGTTTGGCTCAGTGGAGGGAGCGTCAGGCTGAGAACTGAGGGTCCCGGGTTTGATTCCACTCAAGGGCGTAAGTTGTGGGCTCGATCCCCAGTTGGGGACTTGTGGGAGGCAGCCAGCCCATGATTCTCTCTCATCATGGATGTTTCTGTCTCTGTCTCCCTCTTCCTTCCCCTCTGAAATCAATAAAAATATTTTTTAATGCAATTTTATTCACCAATCCAAGTCCATGGAAACTTTAAATTCTAACCACATCCTGGCCCATGGAGCCTAGATTTATAAAAAACTCACTCTATTGTTTTTAAGCAATAGCATGATATATGAAATCTGTGTTTCAGAGAGGTACTAGCGCGGTGTTCACTTCCCAACCTCTCTGTTGGAGCTCAAGTGGGGAACTGGCTATTGTCTTCTCCTCCAGTACCTTAGGTGCAGCAATCCACTGTTGCCTAATACTTTAGGCCTCCTGGAGGAGAGGCCTAGTTTGTAGCTATCTATGTAGGAGCAGTACTAGGAAATAGATTGGGAAAGATAGGTTGGGGCTATTTTTGTGGAAATCATTGAATGCCAGCCTGTAATCTGTACTTGCTTTGGCAGATGATGGAGAGATGTAAAAATTGAGTTCTTTTTGAAAAATTATTCTAGCAGTAATGTATAGGTTAGATCATCAAAAGATAAGATAGGAATGAAGATACTATGTAAAATAAGTAAATAAATAAATGATTTTTTAAAACTAAATGTTAAAAGGGACATTCTAAAGAATCTGCTAATTTACTTCATTTCTCCAATGTGCTGGCTACTCTAAAAAACACAGATTGGCCCTAGCCAGTGTGGCTTGGTTAGTTAGAGCATTGTCTGTGCTCCAGAAGATGGTAGATTCAATTCCCAGTGCGGGGGTGCAAGGGGGTTGTAAATGAGGCAACTGAATCTTACACCTCTCTCTCCCCCTCTCTCCCTCCTCCTCCTCCTCTTTCCTTCTTCCCTCTCTCACTCTTTCCCACTACCTCTCTCTGAAAAAAAAAAAATCAGTGAAGAAACGTACATTGGGTCTGGCTGATGTGACTCAGTAGTTGAGCATTGACCTGTGAACCATGAGGTCAAGGTTTGATTCCCTGTCAGGGCACATGCCCCGGTTTCAGGCTTGATCCCCAGTCAGGGCATGCAGGAGAAAGCCAATAGATGATTCTCTCTCATCATTGATGTCTCTCTCTTTCTCTCTCTCTCTCTCCCTTCCTCTCTGAAATCGATAAAATTTTTTTTTTAAGTATGCGGGAAACATATTTATATGTTTTACGTTGACTGGTAGTAGAGCGCGGGACACGTATTAATATGTTTTTTATTGACTAGCGGTAGAATGCGGGTAACGTATAAATACGTTTATTTTTATACTTTTTTATTGCTCTAAAGGGATGCTAACATGCAGATATACGAATTCCAAAGGACAAAATTTGGGTCTCTAACACATACAATGGTGAATTATCTATGTACTTCCAAGTATAACGGTAATCTATTCAACTGCGTAGAGTCATCCCTTCACACAATTCTCTGCCTCGCCAAGCATTCAGTGCGATTCTAAGAAAAATAATTCAGTATACATTTTATAGTAAATCACAAAAAGTTTCATTGAAAAAAAATATGTAAAACTAAAGTTATCGTAATTTTACTGAACGTTGCCATTTGCGCAAAAAATTAGCAAAAATGGCCCGCGCCACCTGTTAGCGCGCAATAAAAACTACCCGCAAACAATGTGTTAAAGAAACATAGATTGGGATAAATAGCATACCTCTCAACAGGGATGTGTACACCAATGTAGAGGTCAGTTAGCATTTTACGTAATCAAGAGGCTATTCCATTCTTTTGTATTATAAAATGATAATGTTAGCACTTCTGATAAGCAATGGCTTTACTTCATAAATCAGTTCCCAGATGTTGCTAAGGTTTCCTTGATTAACTGTCATCTACACCTGTAGGTCCTACATTTCTGACTTTTTAAGGTCAAGACTCCTTTCCTTGCCAATCCCTTAAACCTCTTTGATGAATACAATGTATTAGGAAACAAAAAGGAATTCCTCAAAGCTCAGATAACCCATCCCTTTGGAAACTGATTGATACCAGACCATATAAAACTTACTGCCCAAATCCCAGAGAGTCCCCAAGTTGTGCCCTTTTTAAAACATATTATTCAACAAATTGAATTTCGGGTCCAAGTATTACTAAACCAAATAAGTTACTTAACTTTATGAACCAGATTCTCTGAGACTACCTTCTTCAGCGTGACTGGCCTATACTGACTTTCTGTCCACCGATTAGAGATCATGTGGGTGGTGGTATGGTTTAATATAGATTTCAGTCTATATTAAGATTTATGCAGAGGTTGGGATTCATCTGTCTGTTCCCTTTTTGGGGGAAATGGAGGAATGAATCTATCTTAAAGCAGAGAGAATACTTGAAACTTATGAGGGTTATAAGAATTTTTATTACTTACAGAAAATCTAAAAGTTCCTTTCTCTGATTTCCAATTAAATGGCTACCCCTTCTCACATTCATCTGTTTTGAAAGCACTAGAACACAGTCCTGATACTAAAAATTATCCTGATTACAGTTATTATTTTTGAACTTCTATACATTTAAAAACCTTAGGCCTGGCTTCCCTGGTGGCCAATGAATAAG